GCCGCGATCCCCGATCCCCAAGTCCCAGATCCCCGATTCCCGGATCCCAGGGCCCCGATCTCCGGTCCCGGAGCCCCGCAGCGCCTCGGGAGCCAAGCGGGAAGCGTTTTCAGCCAGCCCTGCGACTGACCCCGAAGCCCACCCTGCTCAGGGTGCCTCCCCTCCTCAGGGGAAGATGGCGCCGGGCACCAGAGACACCCTCAACTCCCCTTTCGTTTCTAGGTGACACCGTCTGGATGCTCACCCTTTGCCTTCCCCTCCCACTGCAGAAATCGGCAGCAGTTTCTCCAGAAAGCAGTTTAAGAAGCACTCACTTGGAACAAATCTTTTATTATAGCATCATTAATACATTTTACCTTGCAATAACATCTGCTCCTTGTACCCACCGCAGGATTCAAAAGGCAGCAAAGCTCCCACAGAAACCAGTTTTGCTTAGCTTAAAGCGTAGCCTTAAGGTAAAACACTCAGGTGTTTCTCTTCAACTCTCTGTAACCCTGATCAGGAGCACAGCATCTTCCAGTGGCCACCAGAATTCCTCACAGCATGGACAGCACACGCAGGGTCAGGTTTTGAGGACTGACCTGATCCCTGGGCCAGGTATCTGCTGAAATTGTACAGATGGGGCTTCTAAGGGCACAAATACTTCAACTTCCCGTTTCAAGACCTCATTTTCAAACCCTTAAAACCACCAAACGCTGATGAAGCTTTAGTTTGCCTGTGTCAATCACTTCTGAAGACAAAGCTGGAGAAAATATCTTCTTCATGTTAACTATGGCTTGAGACTTTCCGATGTCCTTACTGCTCTCACCATCCCTTATTCTGAACCTGGGAAATGAACCTTGGTTGGGAAGGACAGGCAAAATGTGCAGGCATTGCATATGCTCTTCAGCCACAGGAAAACTCACCTATATTTACTTCTGAAAAAAAACATGGGTTTGCACTAACTGGTGAAACTGAGTGTATTAGCACCTCAAGGAGACTCTGCCCTTGCTCAGAGCTCAGATCACTCACTGTCAGGGTACCACGAAGGACTTCAGGAGAATGTTTGCTGAGACAGCTGCTCCAGCCAGAAGATGAGGGGCAAGTTCTGATACAGTGAGAACCTGTCTTCACTACGCCTGCCAGCATCTGGCCAACACTCAAGCCAAACAGGGACAAGAGCCACTGAAGGAGAAGGAGGAAAAGGAAACTCCATGTCTCTTAGTCAACAACAGGTAAGGAGAGTAAGACTTGTAGAAGGAGCCCTACTGGGAAAACAAAAGGTTGGAGGAAGGGGTAGATTAACAAGCACAAGACCGTAGGACACTGAGACCAGGGAAAGGTGGGGATGAGAGGGGCACCCAGTCTGTACCTTTTACAACACGTAGGGTGGAATGTGGGACTGAATTTTGTTATTTGTTTGTCAGGGAACAGCTATAAAAACCACCAGGAATGTGCTTCAGGCCAATCTAGTACTTTTTTTTCCCCCCCTGCTTTAATACTGTTATTGAATAGTATTACACAATACTGGTGTCTTGCTTTATGGCAATTTTTCCAACATTTAGAATGCTGTGTTTTGAAGGAATGTCTTCCTCTTGATCTTCCAAAATGAGAATATCAGAAGGAAATCTGCTGCTCTCTTGAAGTCAGCGGGAAGTTTGCTTGCATAAGGAGAACTTGTTAGGACTCTTGACAGTGTTTCACAGCTTGTACAAAGTTCTCCAACGTGTTAGAGCTCGTCTTTTTCATTATTCTTCTTCAGGAAAGAAGCAAGGATATTGAGGCTCTTCTGGAGCTCCTCTTTTTTCCCATCACTCATCTTGTTCTTCTCTATCAGTTTCGTGATTCGGACGACTTCGTTAGCAGCAAACTCTTCTCCTTGCTCCAGCATCTTGCTCATAATTTTCAAGTATTGCTCAGCTGACTTCTTCTCGGTTTCTTTTGTTTTTTCTAAACTCTCTTGCCCCTTTTTCAGGAGGGACTGGCGTTCTGATTTCTCAGTGGTGCTCACAAACTTGCTGGCCAGCATGTCGTACTCCTTGAGGCAGCCTGGCATCCCCAGGTAGATCCCATTGCTCTTCAGCCAGCGCTGAATAGCCCCAGCCTTGATGTGCCCACTGTAAGGCAAGGGGTTGTCAAAGTCACCATCTTGGAACAAGTAAAAGATGGGGAATTTTTCCTTATCCAGCTTGTACTTTTCTCCTAGCTCAGTGTTCAGTTTATCACCATAATGTAATCTGTCAAGAGAAAAGCACAGTATATTAATCAAAAGAAAAACAATAATTTAGGATTCTCTCCTACATAAACTGAGACTTCTCTGTACAAACCCTACCCTCCTTATGGGAAATTAGTAGCCTTTGTCTTCCCTGTTTTGCTCTATCCATTGGTTTTATTTGATTTTACAAGTTAAATGGATTTTTTTTTCCCCCAATGTCTGTGCAGAGACTGTACACAAGTTTGTTTCCATTCTGACAGCATGCCAAGCTACAAGGTGTCTTTTCAACTTACAAAAATGGCATTTTTTCTTGAGGACAGAAAATGTAACTTAAATGAGAGTTCAGCTATGCTACTTAGCTAAATCCCTGTCTGTTTAGAAATGTTGTGGGTGAAACCTCCCAGTTGGACAATTCCTGTAAGCTTAAATTCTTAATTCTACCTACAAAGCAAGAGCAGGTAAGGTGACAGTGATCTGTTCCTCACCTTTTTTCTCTTCAAGCCAATTACAAGAACATCAAGTTACAGCAGCCCTAGTGCAGCCACCACCTTCTGTGCTTCACCAGCAACAAGTGGCACGTTTGCTACCATGAATGAATCTTATTACATGGGCTTGGTTCAACCAGGCTTGTGGCTAAAGCACAGGCCACAGCTTCAGTACTGGCGTCAGTTTTGGGCACCAAAGACCTTGAGGGGCTGGAGCAAGTCCAGAGAAGGGCAACGAAGCTGGTGAGGGGTCTGTGGAACATGTCTTATGAGGAGCAGGTGAGGGACCTGGGGCTGGTTGGTCTGGAGGAGGCTGAAGGAAGACCTTATTGCTTTCTCCTCCCTGAAAGGAGGTTGGAGTGAGGTGGGTGTTGGTCTCATCTCCCAAGTAACCAGCAACAGGACAACAGGAAATGGGCTTAAGTCACAGCAGGGGAGGTTTAGACTGGATATTGGAAAGGATTTCTTCACTGACAGTGTCCAGTTCAGCAGCATGGGCTGCCCTGCTTCAGTCACCAGCTGACAGCAGGTGAGCAGCACTCCCACGCTGCTGGCAGGGGAGCTCAGCACCCTGGTGCTTTGCTCTGCAGGGTGCCTGCCTCATTCCTCACCATCAGAATTACTCAGAGCCCGTTTTCGTCAGAAACCGCAGTGAAGTTTATTCCCTCCACACCAACCCACACTTGAACTCCTCTGCCCAGAGCTCCTCACCTGATATCCCCACTTCAGCCACCAGCAGATCCTCACTGGAGCCTGAGCTCTCTGCCAGCTTTTTAAACTCATCTTGTTTCTCCCCGTAAGGATATTGCGTATCGAATTTCACCAGCACGAACTTATGCTTTGGAATCACCTAAAAGAAGAAGGAAAAAATAAACAAAAATCTTTATCACTGCATGTTTGAGCCATCTACAAGTGCCCTGAGGTTGCAGGAGCTTGTCCTTCTTTTCCTGTGCAACGAGTAGATGGGGAGGGAGAATGGAAATGTTCTAATTATGGCCTTTCAGAAATGACTCACTGCAGCGAGGAGGGAAGACTGAGCTTTGGATGTATATATTCCTACACCAGATGACAAAGATGTGGTAGGTCTGGGGGATCAGATAATGACTTTAATTATACATGGTTTGCTTATTGTAAATCTGATTAGCATCTTGGAAGAAAGTCAGCTAGACTGTTTCCAGTGAGACATTAAAAGGAGAGAGGGCAGATCTAATGTCATCCTGAAGTGTCCCAGGGTGAGCACTGCAGCTCGGAGCAGAGGTGCTGGAGGTGCTGTATAGGTTCAGGAAATCCAGAATTTGTGTTTTAATTGAGTCCTCTTCACTTGTGCCTTTGCTTTGGAATTTTGCTCTGCTCAGCTGACACCCTTTCGAAGGCGCTTGGAAATGGAATCTCTCACCCAGGATGGGATTTCTGTTCTCCCTCCACGAGAAGACCTTGCAAAATATTTCCTCCCAGCAAACAGGGTCAGATTGCAACACAGGTCCCCACCTACAAAACGTCCTGTGGGCACCGTGCAGGCGCCGAGCTGACACCTGCTTCCCAGTTAGCCAAGGCCTCCTCCAGCCCTGGGCCAGCTGCTCACTCAGTGCTGTCCTGGCAGGGAGCAGGCACGGTGGGTCCTTCAGCTCTGCCAGTTCTGCTGCTCTTCTAAAGTCTCTCTTGCAGTGTTCTATCAGTGACTTCAAATTCTTCTTTTTGCAGAAGAGCTGGAAGCTCCCGAGGGTTGTAAAGCGCAGTAAACACCAAAAATGCTTTGTGACAGCAGAAAAAATCAAGTGGGGTGAGGGGGGAACTGGCATGTAGCGAGAAATACTTGCTCACGCCTCAGCAGTTTGTTTTGGGGACATAATTTTCAGCCAGCTCGGCTGACTGCTGTCTCCTCAGCTCAGGAATTAATCCTGTCAGACGAAGCTCCCCTCGGCGGGCTCCCCGCCATCTGCACCAGCCCGCCCCAGCGCCGGGTGCTGCCGAGATCAGCTCCAGGCAGACACCTCCATTCCACAGCGATTTAGCACAGAAAAAAACAGGCGGCGAGGCTCGGCCTGGCAGCAGCCTGTTGCTTTCCCAGGAGAAAGAACTGAAACCGGCCCGGGCTGCGAGCGCTCACGGCCCCGACCCGTGC